TCTCTCTCTCTCTCTCTCTCTCTCTCTCTCTCTCTCTCTCTCTCTCTTTCTCTGATAACCCTGCAACATTCTTGCCTCTTAAACTAATCTTGGAGGAGCAAGCTGGGCAAGTAGTAAAGTAGCAGACCTTTCCTGAATAATACCCCTAGCTTTTCTTTAAGATGATTATTTCTCACAATTCTTGAGGGAGGGAGGGAGGGAGGGAGGGTGAGCCCCTTGGAAAAGCCAGAAGCAGATGTTCTTAACCCAAATTACTCTGCTGGGTTTTATCCTGGCTTAGGGTACAGAACAAAGAACAATGCTGCCCTCAGCAAGTCTGCCTAATGTCAGATGCTCCAACAATTACAGGGTGTTAACCTACAGGAATTAGCGCCGGGGTCCAGTGAACTCAGAGAACTGGACATGAAACAGACCAAGAACTCCTGGGAGACTTTGGCAGAGTGGGTGTGATGTGGCATGTCTCGTAGACATTTACTGCACAGAAGGACTGGCAAGATGGTTGTGTAAGGTAAAAACCCCACAGAAATTACTTTACTTAAAAAGCCGACAGGAAAGAGCTTGGGTATTTTATTCTAGTCTTTGTCCAATAATCAAGGTTGGGTATTTTTCCCAGTTAAAAGTAGTAGTAGAGAAAATTAAAGTAGAAATAAATATGATAAAATAAATGGCATTTATTTATCTTAAGGCAGCCAAGTTTGGATGAGGAGCGATTCCCCAGGTCTTATGTGTTCAAGTCTTGTTCAAAAGTCTGTGGTGCTGTTTGGAACTGGTGGGATCCTTTAAGAGGTGCTCTTATGGAAAGATAGGTAGGTCATGGGGGCGGGGTTCAAATGGGTATTGAGAGCAGCAACCTCTCTTTGTCTTCACTTTCCCTAACAGCAAGAATCCTCAGTTAGACACTTCCTGCCCTGAGATTCTGCTTTGCTACAGGTGCATGAAGCAACAGGATTAAGGAGCCATCGACCAAATCCATGAAAGCTGTAGGTACAAGTAAATCATCCCTCCTGAATGTCAGGTGTCCTGCCTGCCACAGTGATAACGCAGGGAGTTTATGGACAAACTGCATGCAATGAAGTGTGTGAAGCTTTATCAGCTGTTAGCTACTAAAGAGTGTACACTGATAAATGAAACACAAGAAAGCTGCGTGCTGTTGTGAATGCAAATAGCCCTCTTCATTAACTGTGGACAGTAACATTAGGAAGCCTCAGATTTGTACTTAAGACACTTGCCTCTTTTCTACCTAAAAATACTTAATACTAGGGACTGGAGAAATGGCTCAGTGGTTAAGAGCACTGCCTGTTCTTCCAGAGGATCTGTGTTTGATTTCTAGCACTCACATGGTGTAGCTTGCAACAATCTGTAGCTCTAGTCCCAGCTGATCTGTCCCCCTCCTCCACCTTCCTAGGGCACTGAATACACATACACACACATACACACATACACACATACACACATACACACATACACACATACACACACATACACACACACACATACATACACACAGAAGCCCAACACCCATATACTAAAAATGAAAGTGAATAAATCCTTAAAAAATATTTAATACTAAGATCAAGGATCCAAAACAAAGACATTACTGGAGAACAATAAAAGTATGTTCATCACTAATTTGAGGTGTTTCCTACTTATGGACGATGCCAGCAAAACTAATTACACCAGACACATTAAGATCTTCTTTAATCATCCTCTGATAGTACTTGTAAATAGTTTCTTTTCATTTTCTCCTCCTCTCCTACCTTTCTTTCTTCCCTTTCTCCCTCAGCTCTCTCCCGCCCTCCCTTTTTGATAAATGGTTTCCAGGCTGGCCTCAGAGTCACTACGTTAAGTCAAGCTGTCCTTGAACTCCGAACAATTCTCCTACTGAGATTCCAAGCATAAGCTCCATGACCAGCTTATAAGTCTGTTTCTTTGTGATGTAAGGATAAATAATTTGCTTAATTTCACTTAGGAAACCATTTGAGTCCAGCCATAATATATTATGTTATTAGCACATTTTGAAAGAGTTAATGAGAAACATACATTTCAGGTAAAATGACTTAAGAATAGTATAAAATAGTCACAGGACAACACATAAAAACATAAAGATCAATGAAATACTCAACTACATCAGATTACTTGATGCGATTTAAAATGATATATTTTATTTACATTTTTAAACTTTTATTTTTATTTACATGTGTGTGGGTATGTGCACAAGAATCAGGTGACTTTGGAGCATAGAAGAGGGCATCAGGTCCCAGGGAGCTAGGGTTACAGGTGGTGGTGGTGAGCCTGTCTGGTTGTACGGGTGTCTGGAACCCACATAAGATCCTCTATGAGAGACAGCATCCAGCACTCTTAAGCTCTTGATCCCTGTCTCAAGCCCACGAAACAAATACTTTATCCATCACCGATTAGTACGTAACCAAATGTACACATCTCATTATTTAGTACTCTCCAAAGATCTGGTCAGACTATAGAAAATGAAGTTCCTATTCATAGAGAGCTATGGAAAACTCAAGTTCCTATGAGAGCCCAAACACAACATCACACTATACGTCCTTGGTATGATGATAATGTTCTTACCTGCTACATATGACAGGTGGGGGCGGGATCTGAGGGGACAGGTCAGGGGCACTTTGGGTGTAAGTTAAGGCCCTGTGAGATCCGGGGCCTCGCTTGGTAGTTCCTTCAGGGGATTCTGGGAACTGTTCTGAAGCATTGCTGCTGACAGGACTGCTGGCAGGCGATCCTTGGGGAGGTGAGGAGGAGGGTGAGGGAACGGGTGAGATTTTAGCAAGACCACCTGAAAGAGAGTGAGAGTTATGGATTCATTCAACGAAAACCCCTGATATCCAAACCTGTGTCTCCTTCCTGTCATCTCACCCTGTACACATGAACTCAGCAGTAACCAAGGCCATGCTCAGCCCCAGATCTGTTTTCATTTCCGTGCCACCATCTGGAGACAGAACATGTACTTGAGATGTCTTCATGGCATGAAAATATGACCAATAAATCATTGTGAAAATCTGATGGCAGTGTTGGTACATCCACTCTAGCCATGGTGACCTGACGCTACCTCAGGCAGGATATTATTTTCTTCTCCCATTTTTTTTTCCTCTCTTGTCATCTTGACTTGGAAGCAACAGTTACCATTTTCTCATGTAAATTTCTAGCTGGAACAAAACACTCAATTATTTTTTAAAAGACTTGCTTACTTTTTTTTTTATTTGCATGCATGTGTGTTTGCATGAGATTATGCGCACTACATGTATGTGTGCAGGAGCTTGTGGAGCCAGCAGATGGCAGCAGATTCCCTGGAACTGGAATTGTAGGTGGTTGTGAATCACCATGTGGGTGCTAGGAACTAAACTCAGATCCTCTGCCAGAGCAACAAGTTCTCTTAATCTCTAAGATCTCTAAGCCATCTCTCCAGCCTCTCTGTTGCTTTAAATTTTCATCTAGAGCACAAGATGGCAGGCATGGGATGCTTAAAATATGCAAATGAAAATGATAATTTGGAGAAGATCAGCCTTTGCAACTGTTCACACACTCAGTGAAATGTATATTTGTATGTGAAAATGCACTCTGAGAAGAGTAAGTGTGAAGGGAACATTTAAACATGTAATACATCAAGTACAAACCGCACAGTAAGCCTAAAGTTTAAACTTCAAATTAGGCACTACCATATTTACTTTTATGCTATAGCTTGAGGCCCGACTACGTATTGGCTTGAATTTCAGCAGTTCTCTCTCTGTAAGATGAGGTGAATATCTTCTGATATTGTTGTCTCCCAAATACAGAGGAGGCAGAATGCAAATAAAACTGGGGGGGGGGTGTAGGGAATTTAAAAAAATGATAAGTAACATCAGTTCATCTCCAGGTTTCTGCTTATCCCCTCTGAATGAAACTGAGAGATCAGATGTCATCTCTAGCTGGCATGTGTGGCTAACTGGCAACAAAAGTTTGACTTTTCCCAGTCCAAAGTTTCCTTCTCCATGAAGTGGAATATCATGGCATATAGATGCCCTTTTTATAATTTTGTCAGTGCCGTGCTTCTTCTGTGCAGGTTCTTGAGATGAGAGTTCTCAAGTTTCTTGGCTTCAGTATGGTAGACAACCTCCCTCTCAAGCCCCTCCAGCAGATTTCTTTGTTGCTTCTTAATCAATATATCAATCCTCCACCTTTGTCCTTAATGAATGAGCCCATCTCAATCCAGAGAGGCTGAAGAATGGCATCATTAGAGCACTAATGAGAACATGTACACAGGATCGAGGTAGAGGCTAGTCTGGTTGAGATTTATTGAGGCATGGCAGGGATTTAATGGCTGCTTGTTTTGCAGGGTGAGCTTTAGGACAGCCTGGTCTACAGAGTGAGCTCTAGGACATCCTGGTCTAGAAAATGAGCTCCAGGACAACCAGGGCTATGCAGAGAAACTGTGTCTCAAAAACAAAACAAAACAAAACAAAGCAAAGCAAAGCAAAGCAAAGCAAAGCAAAACAAAACAAAAAGACTATCAACAATGCTGTAGGCACTGGCTTCATCATAAATTTGGGAATACTTTTCTATAATTTGATTCTTATTTCTTTTGTGTGTATACATATTCATGTCTGTGCGTGAGTGGGCGAGGGTATGAAGGCAAGTTTGTTCTTCCATGACTTTCCACCTTGGTTTTGGAGACAAAGTCTCTCAATGAACCTGGAGCTTAGTGATTCTCCTTGGTTGGTCATCAACAAACCAGAGGGAACCTCTTGTCTCTTCTGTTCAGTACTGGGATTACAGGTTTGCCTTAGCCTTGCTTGGCTGTTCACATGGGTGCTGAGGATTGAACTTGTCTTGAGTCAAGCCCTCCACTGACTGAGCTTTTGGCTCAGCACCCTCTCCCTACACCTTTTTTGTTAACATCTTTATATATATATATATATATATATATATATATATATGCAGACCATTAGTTCAAAACCCTTGGGGAAACTTCTCCAGTCCTACCTTGACACAAATGTGTATTCTGAGAGCAATTTATGAGAAGACTGATTTTGTTTTAGTAGCTGAGAGCTGATAGCTATAGAGACGTGAGTTTCATTCTTAAATACACATTTTAAAGTCCATATAGCCATTAGGGTTCTTGGAACTCAGGGATTAACTAAATTTAAACTAACAAGCAGACTTCAAGTCTCCTGCGATGATCTTTTTAAATAAACGTGCAGCCAAGGAAAAGCACTTTGCTTTTATAGTGCTTTGTTCTACACATTTTTAACAAGCAGTAGGTCTCAGCACCAACAGCAAGCAGCAGAGATCAAGGGGGTAGGGGGTGGGGTGAGAAGATGAAAGTGTGAAGTTTGTTGCAAGTTTAAAAAACAAAACAAGAAGCATTAGGGATAGGATGGCAATAGGACACACATGTCCATACACCAGACTTCAGAGAGATGGAGACATAAATGATCAATGCAGAAACAGGCAGAGTACCCTTTATCCAAAATGCTCCATTTGGAAGGACTTCAGAATTTTTAGTTTTGTGGATTTGGGAATATTAACACCAAGTTCAAGAGTTGAGCATCTGTAATGCAAGTTTGGCAATCTGAAACATTCCCATTTAAACTTTTAGATCAGGACTGCTCAGTCTGCAATCGCTAGATACTCTTCCAATTTAGAAAGGAAGGCTAGAGGAGAGGCTGAGAGAAAAAAAAATTTAGAAAAAAAAGAATAAAACACAACAAAAATTCTAAAAGACAGGGAGGGGAGAAAATCAAGTATTGTAAAATAAAGTATCGTAGATATAGAAAAGGGATTTCCCTATGAAAGTTAGAAATAGCCAGAAAGAAAGAAATCCTAAGGGCCCTTTAAAGACCATCAGAAAGAAGACATCCAATTTTGTGTTACACACACACACACACGCACACACACACACACCAAAACAAAAACCATGATGAGCTAAAAAATGCACACTTTCTTAGATTACTTATTGTCATTTTATAATTGAGTGATTTTAAGAGACTCCAGGAACAAGACCGAGATCATGAAATATGAAACCCTCAATGATTTACGTTGTCCCAGCACGAAATGTTTAAAGACATTAGTAGACAATGAATAAACAAACAAACAAACAAATAAATAAAAAATTTGGAGACTCTAAAATCCTAACTCCTTTGAGTATCTGAGCCTTTGCTTCCTTGTTCCTAAGAGCCTGAGAAAATGTGTGTCGAGTCACAGAGGCGACCAGAGCGAGGTGATGAGGAATACTTTCTAGGATTTCTTTAGGTCAATCCAGTTGCTTTGCAGTATAAAAATCTCTCAGATTAATGTCAATTGAGCAAGAAAGAAATGGAACTGAAGAGATGGCTCAGCAGTTAATAGCACTTGCCGATCTTGTAGGGACCTAAGTTCCGTTCCCAGCACCCATATCAGAGGTTTACCAACAACTGAAGTCCAGCTTCAGGGGATCTGACCTTCTATTCTGGCCTCCTCAGGCACCTTCAGACAGGTATACGTATACACACAGACACATAAACACACACATACCTAATAAGAAATAAAATTATTCTTAAAAAAGAAAGAAACCAGCTGTTCTGATAAATATATGGCTTTGTACTAATGTTTTAGAAAATGTATCTAGAGTAAAACAATACAAAACGAAAACAACACTATTATATAAAAGTTTTCTCTTAAGTCCAGCTTATAGGTATAAGTTTTCTGGTTTTACTATATTAGAAAGCTCACACTTACAAGACACTAGCAACGGATCACTACACAGGCAGAATCAGTGAATTAAAGGATGTAAAATCAGAAATAGGCGTGTATGAAAACTCCATAAGGATTTGTACTTTATACTGATTTGAAAACTGCACTAGGAGAAGGAAAAGCAAATAAAACCAGATGAGGACAAACAAACCAAACCAGATGAACTCGATTGACTAGGGAGAGGTATAATCTAGTTTGATTGGATTTTTAATATATTTCTGTAGTTGGGCAGGATTTTAGTGATTGATTTGAATTCAGTATATACTGGATACAGATTATATTATAAAGTGCTTTTTTTCATGATGACAGCAACCTAAAAACACCACAATACAAAGTACCTTCAAAATCATCAGGATAGAGAAATGCCCAGCCTACAAGAATGACAAATTGCTATTCAGTGCAATTTGTACCATCGCCCCTTGTGGCATGTTGAGTGGGTCATCTTGAGTAAGACATGGGAGTAAGACAGAGGGACATGATGCTACACCCTCGTATACTGAGTCACAAGATTCAGATTTAAAAACAGGAAAAAATGATTTTAAGTTAGGTCTATGTGTGTCTGTCCTATGTGTGTACATGTTTGGGGCACATGTGTTACATTGCTTCCAGAAGACAAAAGAGGGCAGTAGATCCTTTGAAGCTGGAGTTATGGGTGACCTGATATAGGTGCTAGGAACATAACTCCTATCCAGTGGAAGACTAGTGCACACAGTTAAGTGGTGAGCCATCCCTCCAGCTCCAAGATTTTATATATAATATATATTCATATATTACATGAATAATATATAGTATGTATATAAGATTATATATATAGTTTTTATTTACTTATACTTACTTATTCATTCATTCGTGTATGTGTGTGTATGTGTGCGTATGTGTTTATGTGTATGTGTATGTGTGTGTGTATGTGTTTGTGTGTGTGTATATGTGTGTGTTTATGTGTGTATGTGTGTGTATGTGTGTATATGTGTGTGTGCATATGTGTGTATGTGTATGTGTGTGCATTTGTGTGTGTATTTATGTGTGTATGTGTATTTGTGTGTTTGTGTGTGTGTGTGTGTGTGTGTGTGCACTGTCTGTCTGCCATGGCGCACACTGGGAGTCTGTTCTGTGTAGGTCTTCAAGTGTGACAATGAATCTGCTAAGCCATATGTGTATGTGGTATGCATGTGTGATCCATATGTTGTGTATGTATGTGTGCTTGTGCTATGAACATGTTAGTAGCATGATGTGATATGTATAGATGCACAGTGTATTTGCACATGTGTGTTGAGTTCCTTGTTGATGCACATACATGTGGAGGCCAGAGGGCAAGTCTATCTGTGTTTGTCTCCTGGCATCTCAGCTAATTACCGTTCTCCATCACCTGTCACTGATCGGAGTATAGCTCAAGGCTATTTCCCAGCTCATAGTTGATATCCACTTACAGAGCTTAAGGAACATCTCCACAGCTTAAAGGACCACAATATTTTTTGGAGAATTGGATTGCTTTTAATGGTTTCTTTCAGGATTGGAATAAAAATAAACATGAACTCTGTAGGGACTGTGTCTTCCTTCAGTGAACAGTAGAGATTTTAAGAGAAGGGACCAAGAGAGGAGTGAACAACCAGAGGGAAATGAGCAAACAGGAGTCCTCCTCTAACTCCTGTGTCTTAACATTAGGTTCGCCTCTCCAAGAGTCTTTGGAAATATCACTGAAATGTGGGAAATTTGCAAATGGTTCTCATCGAAATCTCATCATTTTAAGGATATCCAGTCCACTTCTGACTGTTAAACACTCAGCTGTAACCCACACTTGCTTCCTTAAGTACAGATAGAAAAGATGAGAAGGAAGAGAGGAGGAAGGGAGAGAGTTAGAAAGAGAGGAAGGAGGAGAGAGGAACACAATAAGGGACAAACTAGGGAGAAAGGGAAGGAAGAAAGGGATAGAGGGAGGAAAAGAAAAGCAAAAGAATAAGGGAGAAGTTGGGAAGAAAGGAAGAGGAGAGAAGAAAGGCAGGGTTCAATGGTCAACCCCAGATCTGAGGGATTTCAGAAGAGAACAGAGTGAGCAAGCTACAGTTCTGCCAGTTGTTCCCCCTCAGACACACATCTGCTTTGACACACATCTGAGCAGAGGGCACAGCTACTACAGAGGCTACCATCAGAGCTTTTAGAAATGTCATGAGGGTGATGACAAGTTCATACCTGCTATGGCAGCCAGATTGGCATGTCCAATATCACATTGAGAGGAGGGCTCTCCTGGAGCCAAAACTCAAATTTTAAGCTGCTAAGGATAGACAACTCAGAAACAAAGCAGAAAGTAACTGAAAACTCCAAGAAGAATTTCTACAGAAGCAAGTGTATAGTACTTCTCAGAAGAGGTCAGAGGACAGCCCAGGTCCTCACCTGGATTCTAGGACGGAAATTCAGAGGCAAATGTAAGGAAGTAGTGTGTGTGTGTGTGTGTGTGTGTGTGTGTGTGTGTGTGTGCACGTGTGCGTATGTGTTTGAGCACACATGCATGTAGTCCCTAGGGAGGCCAAAACTGGGCGTTGGAGCCCTTGTAGTGGGTGTTACAGGTGGTTGCCTGACATGGGTGCTGGGAATAAAATTCCCAGCAAGACAGTTAAGAGCAGCAAGCCCTCTTAACCACTGAGTTAACTCTCCAGCTCCTAAGGTCTTGAACTCTTTTCTACCTGCATCAGCATCTTAAACTTCATTGTTCTTCATTTTACTGTCACAGTTCATTATCGCAACTTATGTATGGAAAATGGGACTATAGACCCAGAGAATACAAAGAATGTGACTTACCTGGCCTGTTTTGCTTTTTAGCTTTTACATGGTTAGCTGCAGAGACAGCATAGGATGAAGTGAAGGACCTGCTTTTGGTGAGAGTCATCAACACCGGGGCATTCCAAGAGTCAGGATTGACAGCACTACAAAGACAGCAGTTAAAGATCTCAGAGATATTACTCACTGATACTGAGCACATCTTTCCAGAACCTTTCTGCCACCTCCAGTCGATATGGCCACCTGAGTATTCATTCCCAGATTGCTGACAGAAACATTTAACTTGCAAATGATAGACTAAGCTAAGCTCAACATCTACTGCAGTCATATATCTATCCATCCCACATCAAACACAATCTACCAAGAGAAAAGATGACTTTCCCAACCCCAAAACACAACACACTCTTCTGCACGTGTGAATCATGTTCCATACGGATTTTTAAAAAGCTATCTTGCAGATTCGTTGGCTCTGATGTAACTGTCCTTGCAGAAGTAGAAAACGACATAATGCTTACTTTATACATAATAATGCATAGGTATATAGGCATAGGTATACATCTTCTATACAATATTATTGGTAAATACATTTAACAATTAGTATTTGATCAAGCCATTAAATGACAGTGTCTTGCATTACTTACTTATCAAGTAGAACATGAAAGCAGATCTATAGTCTGTCATTTCTCTCTGTTGGCAACATAGCCTTGCCTAACAAAGCAGCAGCCTACAGCAGTGTCCTAAAATTTCTTTCTACTGATGACACCCTGAAAAGAATGCTATACCCAGTCACAGCCCAATTGAAACAAACTCACAATGAGCATGGTGCCTTCACACTGATCCTATCAATTATAGTAGAGGAAACAAGTTCTAATTACATAGATAAAGCATATGATGACCATCACAGACTTGATCATCAAGTTGTTCTGTAAACTAATCTGGAATCAATCAATCCATAAAGGATTGGACCTAGAGAAGGTTACAGAAGCCATGTAATTAATGGGATGGGATTCTTGGAGATCTTCCAAGCTGAAATTTCTCTTTACATAGCGCTTCAAGCCTTACTTGAGGAAATGGAAACATTATCCACCCTAATTTGGGAGAGAAGTGAATTCAGGAAGTTGACAACCTTGGACTTCTCCCAGTGAAAAGTGCTTGGTCTGTGTTTTGCCAGCACCTGTGTCCTTTCAAGCACCAGTAAATTTGGTGAAGGTTAAAAGTCTATAATTTACATGAATATAGCTTGGATATTTGATCATTTTCCAACCTTAGATTGGGCAGGATGTGTCTGATCTGTCTGAGGGATAGACTGTAAATAAGGCTGGAACTGATGGAATTATGGGATCATGGATCTATGAAGTTTGTCATATAAGATGTAAAATTAATGGATAATTTGGAGGTGGTCCCAAAGAACAGGGGTTCTGCATCTCCCAGCAGTCTTCATGCCAAGAGCTCTTTAGTGAGGGATGGGACTTCAGGATCTCCTTCGCCATGATATTTATCTTCAACGATTATATTTTATAAGTTGCCTTTGCTCTTACTTCTCAGAGGAATTTACCACATAACATACATTATAAGAGAAACATTTGAAGGGTGAAATAAACTTCATCAATTGTCAAGAACACTGGAAGCCTACAAAACACTTGTTTCATGGCATCTTTAGCCTTTCCAAAATAATTGTAATTTTGTGAATGAGATAAAAAAAATTATGAATGAGTCAAATATTTCCTTGTGATGTTAGTCTCTGTTGGCTCATTCTATTTGCCTGGATAACTGATAAAGTGACTATGATATGTTAATATATAGGTCTATCTTTTCATTTCTTAGACTATTACATAGTTGACAAACTATTGCTCATCCCTGTAGACCTTTTGAAGAGCTTAACATCCTAAAAAGATATCCTATTGAGGCTCACTCAAAAACTGACTAATCATGTTCCTTTACAGCAATAACAACAACAAAAATCAAAAACCATTTAAAAGGGGAATACAAAGATGGCTCAGTGATTAAGAGCACTGGCTGCTCGTGGAGGGGACACTGGTTTGCTTCCCAGTGCTACCAACAAGGCAGTTCACAACCATATGTCATTTCAGTTCCAGATGATACAACACCCTCTTCTGACTTCCCAAGGTATTATAAACATGTGGTACATATATAGATGCATGCAAGCAAAGGCATTCATATCATAAAATTAAAAATCTAAGGAAGTGTTCTTTAGGAACAGGTAAAACGTCTTTATTTTGAAAAGTTTATAAAATGAAATGTAATGAAGTCCAGGTTAATTAAGTTCTCTCTATATCTATCCCACGTTAACCTGGCATATATTAATTTATTATATTATACTATTAGTAAAACAGCAAAAATCAACATATGTTATTTAAATGCATTATAGCTCAGGATCACATCTGTATACAGCTCTGTGTAAGCCTCTAGGTAGTTGTCAGCAACTACCAATGCTGGCTCATCCCTGCTTAGAACCAATGAACAGATAATAATTTGGATTCTAGAGAGGAAAAAGGCTAAGAGAAAGCTCCAAGTGGCCACTGACTTTGAAGCAACAGAGGATAAGGACAAATGATCTCAGCTCTGTTCAACAAAGGACCTTTTACTTCTTCACAAATCCCTGTAATAATTCCATCTTCAAGTCTAAACTGGGTAAGAGTACCTTGTTGGGAAGCTCACAACTTCCTTTATGTCTGACTTACCAAGCCCAGAATCAATTAAGAGATCAACTTAGAAAGACTGGGAGTATGACATATGCCAGCAATTTCTGTCTCTCCAATGGCTATTTCAAATATAATATACTGTCATTTAATATATTTCCCCAGTTATACTACCATTCTATTTTTAAATCCATTTATTAGGGGTAGGTATAGAGGCCCAGGAAAACTCATGGTCTCTAGGGAAACACACCTGAGTTGTTCAGTTCCTCTGACTCTCAATCCTGTATCCTTTGCAGCAGATATTATTTAAATTTTTCAGAGGGAAATTATCTTCCTACATCCATTAGGCCCAGAAATTGTTGGAATGTTTAGTTGGTTTTGTTTGTTTATTTTTGAGACAGGGTCTCAGTTCTTAGCCCTGACTGACCTGGAAATCATGAACTTTTTTCTATCTCTGCCTCTTGAACTCTCCCAACATATTTGTTGTTTTTATTTCTGCTTCTAAAGTTGCTTGGATCATTACGTCCCCAAGGTACCGCAATGGAAAACAAACAAACAAACGATATGAAAATAAGCAATACAACGTGGAGAAAGGAAGAAACATAAACTCCTTTTGTTAGACCAATCAGCAATTGTAGCAATAGTTCTCCCAAGTCAGGAAGACTTCAAAAATCATCATATTTAGCAGTCATATCACAGTCACAGTCATATATGTGGTTTTCCCTTAAAGAGGTAAGTTTTCACCACATGAAGTTGATGACTTCATGATGGTAAACACTGCTCTATGTTCAGACATTACATATTACACATTTACACAGCATGAGACCTGTGAATATCCATTAAAATAAACAAAACGGGTGGCACATACTAGTCCATATGTCAGTGACCATGTTCTCATCCAATCACTTACTTTATAAATTAGTAAGACAAGATCTTTTGGAGGAGGGGAAAATCATTTCTTTGAAACCTTTGTTGTTGTTTGTGTGTGTGTGTATGTGTGTGTGTGTTATGACTTCATTATCAGCCTTGATTTCATACAAAGCAAAGAATGGCAGAAACCAGATTTGGCCAGAATAACAAAGGACACCACAACGGCATTGAGAAGGTAGCCATATGTTTTTCATAGAGTTATTTTTCACACAGAAAATCTAAGAGCATCAGGTAAAGCATGACAGGGAACGTTGCTGTTTTACTTGACAGTGTGTTTTAGAAGTGAGATGTCTTTCTATGCTCACCTGTTTGAACTCTTGGTCCTCAATCAGTGGCTTTGTTGTGGTAGAATGTGGAACCTTTGAGAGGTGGACCTGACTGGAGGAAGTGCTTTACTGGGAGCTGGGTCTAGGCTTATGACCTGACAAAATTCCTAGCCTGGCTTTGCTTTCACTGCTTCCTGGTGTGAGCAAGTGTGAGCAAGTGTGAGCAAATTACCTTACACTCCTGCTGTATCTTCCACTAAGGAAAATGACAAATATTAGCAACAATGTTTAACTTTAACTTCAGGAAATGTTTATGGATCACCGTGAACCTCCTATGAGGACATCTACAAGTTTTACAAAAGTCCAGGCAATACCATAGACTGGAATTATGATTTATAGTTTATGAAAATTATGGTTTAAGAAAGCAACACCTAATGGTTGTTGAATCAGAGCACAAATATTAACACAAAAGAATGTGATACACATTTGAAATGAAGGACTCGGTAATCAGTGGATGGGCTAGAGAGGGCTATGAGCACATCTTCCTTTGGTACAACATCTTAGTGAAGATGCCAGGGGTTATCTGCGCTCTGAGCTCATCAGGGCCATTTCAGGATATAAGTAGAGAGATGCCAGAAAGCCAGTCAAGAAAGACAAAGAAGCAATAAATATGTCTGGGGCAGGGCCAAGGAGAAAAAGTAGCCCAAAGGAAAAACTAGAGTGAAATTCAACCAGTCAGTCTATTTAACAAAGTCATTGCATGGTTAAATCAATAAAATGTTCTCAGGGATAAGCTAATCTCACAGCTGTGGTCCCAGAGAGTAACTCTACAGTCCCTGGCCAGGGTAGCCCTTCAGGAGCCCCTTGGTCGAGGACTTATTGGGTTTCAAAGTGCAGAGCTCAAGTAATTTATGAATGGAACACTATGGGCAAACATGCCCCAGGTGCTAGTGAAGAGGCACAGAGTGGTTCAGTCTGTGTACGCTACAGGAGGAGAAGTAAAACTTTACTAAAGGAAACGAAGGCAAGGGAGTCTGTCCTCATCCAAGCATTGGGATTTGGAGGCTGTCAGTCCCACACTTGTCACCTTGTTGTGAAGAGGAGACTATTTCAACATTGCTATCTAAAATCAGCAAAAGGCCTGTCATACATGTATACTAACACCAAGTCTTGGGTCTCAGTGGAAAAACATTGAAACAGATGGCTATAAGCTAATGTCAACAGGCAGCTTTTGTGGAAATTTACCAGCCTGAGTAGTCATAGACCTTGTAAATAGGAAGCCTTGGCAGACAATACTAACTTAGATAAGGACAAGCGAGTCATAGGCAGAGTTATAGTGAATTGACCCCTGAACCTTCACCTAGCCGATACCCGGTTCTGAAGATATCTGTATTACCCCTGAACACCCACACTCCAGTGTCATTCCCTTCCCCACATCCTGCCTTTCTGTGTTTATAACCCCTGTGTGAATTAATTACGATTTGAGAAAAAAATAAAAAAATAAATTAAAAAAAATTTAAAAATATTTTTAAAAATACGGATATTTTCACTCACTACACCAATAATGGACTACATTGTTTTTTTCTGAAATTACAGGGTAAACGTTATTATAATTATTGACTTCATATAAAGCATTCTAATTTTCTTCTAAGTTGTAAAGAAGAAACAAAGTAGCCCCACTTTGGAAGCACATCTTTTAGTGGTGTTTTCTTAAAAATTCATTGTAGGTCTTAGTGTCAACATTTCTTTAGCCTTTTAAATTCTTCCCTTTAAGTCACTTAATACAATTTGATTTTGAATTTCCCCCAAGGATCATGTGTTAAGGGCTCAGTCTGCAGCATCAGAAGCTGAAACTTTAAAGGTAGGGCCTGCTTCCAGTTGATCAGATCAGTGGGGCTGCTTTTTTTCCAGGGCATATGAGGATATTAGCACTTGCTTTCACTCTCTCTTCTGTCCTCTTTCCCTTCTCTCTGTTCTAGAGCTACAAGGTGATCAGGCGCCTCTGCCCTGATGTACTATGACTACAAAGCCCCAAAGCAAAATCTGAGAAAACACAGATGGCAACCCTTGAAAGCCAGAGACAAATAGTCCTTAATTGACATCAGGCACTCTGTCAGGATGATGGAAAGTGGATTCATACAGTCACTTCATAAAATTGCAATTAATATACTACTAATACATTGAATAAAATATAAAGCTCAGTGTATGGTTCAACGTGAAAACATTTGCCCAGGAAACATGTATATGTATGTGTATGCACACACATAGATATAGATACACACAAATATAACATAAAAAATACAGAAATGTACATATACACACATATATACATACATGCACACACGTGTATACATACATACATTTATACACACATACATACAAGTACACACACATTCACGCATTTACTCACATACACATACAAATATACATACATACACACATATACACACATTTCCTCACAAACACACACACACAAACACATACACAGACACACACACACATACACAAATACACACATATATACACATATATTCACACACACTAACACACACATTATATATATATATATATACATATGTATATATATATATATATATATATACACATGCACACCACACACACATATACACATGTACATATACACACATACATACACAGTTACACACCTATACAGATATACACACATACATGCATATATGGACACATATATACAGATATACACATAAACACATGCACCATGCACTCACACATGTACACATATACACATACATTCACACAATTACACATACACATTTACACACATATACACAAAAATACACATACACGAACATACACATATATACACATATATTCACACATACTAACACACACATTCATATATATATATATATATATATATGTATATAAAACCAAACACACATTCACACAGAGAAATCTAAAAGATTTGAATATAACCAAGTGTTTTTAAGATGCTATCTACTTTTTAATCTATAATTCTTGCTAATTCTGAAGACAGAAAGCAGAACAGGTCTGTCAGCCATTGTAAGAATCCCATGTAAATGTCAGACTAGATGCATTCAATTTAAAGTTCTCAGTATGAATCTCGATGCAGGTAAAGTATAGTGTAACTTCAGACTGACCGTAACCTTTTCTGCTCAATGCCATAGGGGCAAGGCTCATCCCAGCTCACTCTTGGTATTTACATTTAAGGTCAGTCAACCAGGCCCTAAAATACTCTGTGGTTAAGCATGCAAATTTGGCACATTCAAAGCCCACTTCTCGGTAACTCTGGTTGGGCCTCTCTTCTCACGGACTCTATGAATCCTCTTTGGCGAGTAAGTCCTCTGAAGAGACCTGAAGCCAGGGGGAGTGGGGTCTGACCTGGGTGAAGGGGCTTCGTGTGGCTTTATGCTGGCACTGCGGTCCCTCCGCACTGGCGCAGGCTCCAAGGTGGGCAAACCTGTGGCAGAGGTGGTAGTTGTCCAAGTTGATGACACTCTTCTCAGCAAGCCTGGAGGCAAGCTTCTCCTCAGGCGCTGGAAGGAAGATTCGCTTTATCACTAACCACATTTTAGCCATGAAATTTTATGTAAAGCAGTGGGTGGAAGCGAGGTAAATAGAAGCAGGTGTTGAACAACGCTGGCTGAATTTCATATACTCCTGTCCCGGAACACTGAGAGAGAAACTCGGAAGTTGAGTGAAAAGGGTAACAGTGAGCTTTGTCTGCTGTCCCCTGGGGAGTTTCAGGCCGTGAATGTGAGAAGCAAACTGGCTACATAGCAAGTACTAGGATCCCAGGGCTACACAGGAAGGTTCTGTCTCAGACTTCACAGAAGTAGCAGGAAGGAAACCTGAGAGACAGTGGAAAGGCTAGCTAAGACCACGCCCCTCGTGCCGCACCTACCTTGGGAATAGTCAGCTTGTCTTTCTCCAAGCCTTCCTCAGAGTCCGAGCAGGTATAGTTCTCACTGAAGGTCACGGTAGGATTCACTCTGGGCTTGTGGATGGCCTGGAAGGTGAGCTGGGTGCTGAGCAGGTTGCTCACGGCCCTCAAGGATGTGCATACATTCGGAGGCAGAGAAGGATCGGCCAGGAGGTCAGTAATGAGACCATGGGCCTCGCCCATCACGGCAATATCCACAGTGATGCTGGTTCCTGACTGGGACACCAAAGCAAGAGGTCAGGGAAGGTGAGTGTGTGTGAGTGAACTGACATAATCTGAGCTTTATCAACGAAAAGCAAACAGCTGTCAGGCAAACTGGAAGTACTGGCAGCTGAAGCATGAAGATCTAGGGACAACCTAGGCTGGGTAGTAAGAGAAGCCCCTGTGTTACCTCTGCATCCAATTTGAAGGAAAAGGCAAGCAAAGTAAGCTGAGCACTTCAAAACAACACAGTTCAAGTGACGTTGCTGTTTTAACACTAAAATTTGCCGAGGTTATTTTTGTAGGTCTCTACTTTTCAAAAGTTTATATTTTTAGAATATTTAATACTGACCCTTAAAAGTTTGAGATATGGGTTTGAAATGATGCCTCAGTGGTTGGGAGCACTTACTAGTCTTGCAGAGGACCTAGGATGAGCGCCCAGAACTCACATGGCAGTGCCTAGCCATCTAGGACTCTGTTTCCACTGGGTCCCATGCCATCTTCTGACCTCTCTGGGTACTTCTGACAGATGGTGCACAGCAGTGGTTCTCAACCTTCCTAATGCTGAGACCCTTTTAATATAGTTTCTCGTGTTGTGGTGCTTCCCCAGCCATAAAACTATTCCATTACTACTTCATAAGTGTAAAATTCCTACGATTATGAATTGTAATATGAATATCTGATATGCAGGGTATGTGATACGCGACTGTTAAAAGGGTCACCATCCACAAGTGGAAAACCCCTGGTACCCGCAAAGCATTTGTACACATGAAAATCAAACTAAATATTTCAAAAACCATTTCAAACAGTTGTACATAGGTGACATCTTAATATATTATATACTGTATAGTATTCAAGCGACGGTGAGCACACCTAGGCCCTAAAACATTCATCATGTCTCTGCCTGTACTGAAAATAGCCAAAAGGCCTTTCCTCCAGCTGGTGGAAACCTATAATACATTCTCTTCCCGCACAGCCATCTCACTGTGAAACAGCATGGGGCAACTTCTTTCTCCATCTGAAGTACATTGTTCAAAGCTAGAGCTGGAGGAGGCATATGTAACAAGACTAAAACTGCTCTAGGGCTGTGTGTATCCTAGTGGTAAACAGTTGCCTAGCACGTTTAAGCTCTGGCTTTGAAGCCAGTATAACCACTATTCCATGGCAAATAAACAAAAGATCGAACCAAACAACACCTGGTTTTAAAGAGAATTTGAGGGGGAAAACATCAAACCTTCCTCATGAAGAGTTTGCTGCTTTACTAAGCATCACTAGAAAATCTTCTTTGGTTAGTACCATTGATATATAAGAAGATCTTGATTCCAGTGAAGTTTTAACGTAACACTTGAGCCTAGCATGTGGTAGGAAGTCAACTCATTTTAGAGATAGATGTGAAAAGTCACCGAGTTTGTGTCCAAATCCACACTCTCTCTCTCTTGGTTGATAAGATCATAGGTGAGTTCTGTATGTCCGTGACACATTTGTTGCATTTTCTCAAGTTGTCCATTAGACCAGGATGTTAAGGTAAGAGTCAGAGAAGGGGGGTGGGAGGTTTAGAAAGCAACAAAAACTAAAATGGCAAGTAAAGACCAGTGTTTCGCATAGTGCTGTTCTGGAAAGGTTGAAAGTCAGGAGAGGAGGGGTTCAGACAAGGCCAGGTGGCCAGGGAAAGCCTCCAGCAACTGGCAGAGGGCCATTTGTCTTGCGGTATGGCACAGCATGAGGCACACAGAACCAAGTGATCTCAAGCAGTGCATTGTACTGATTCAGGAGGTCCTGCATCCAGGTGTTTAGATCCATAAGCCGGCAATTTCCAGCACCATTCCCTCTTCCTTTTAGGTCACTAAAATCTCCCCGTTTTTCATTTCATCCACCCATGATTCTGGGATACAATTTCTCAAACAAGAGAACAAGAAAAAAGAAAAGCAAAATAATAATAATAATAATAGTAATACCCATGAAGAAGAAAGTTTTAATTTCTTATTTTTATTTTGGTTCGTAAATAACTTACTTATTTTATCTGTGTACCAAATGATGTTATTGTGAGGCACACGGGTGAAAGGAAGTTTTCCTGAAGCAGACACAGGTAAGAGAATGTTTTGGTAAAGCAGACACATGAAAGGACTCTTGATGAAGGAGTATAAATATGACCCCACAGACAGTGGGAGACGAGCACCGAGCATCAGATTGGTTTGCTTCATCTCACTATTCTTTGCTAACAACATACATATATTGGTTGGCTTTGCATAGACTTGTTGAACTCAACCCGTGGTAACACCACCGCTGAGAGAAACTCTCCAAGAGCTGCTTATGAGGTTCCCATAGCAGTATGGCGATTTGCCTCGGAGGCCTCACCTCAGGCCAGTTCCAGAGCCTGGCAGTTTCTTCAGGATTGAACTACAGCTGTCTGGTGTCTGCTTGCTTTAAGGTCTGGACTGTAGCTGTTGGTTCATGCCTGGTGTCTGCCTGCCTAAAGGACTGGTCTGCAGCTGCTGAATCGCATTTGGTGTTTGCTACAGGACTGAACTGCTGCCAAAGAAGATCAAGCTCACCCACAAAGGATTAAAGCTGACAGGTCTGCTTCCTGGATATCCTAATAACTTTTCTCTTCTACTACCTCTGCTGAGTGGTAGGATAGAGGAGAGACTGAACCCTTATCCACTGTAGGTTGTAAAAAATTTATGCCTACCTACCCATAATGCTAATGCTAAACTACAAAGGTAACTGTAAGAATAAAAAGAGATAGTGTAATCAAACAATTCTGTGTTAGCAGTTATGAATCTTGAGTCATGGTTGTGGTATAAACAATAATATATGTAATAATATAGATAGAAAATATAATCACCCTAAAGCTTTTCTTTTTTTTTGATATTTTATTTATTTACATTTCAGATGTTATCCCCTTTCCCCATTTTTGCCCCCAGACAAACCCTATCCCATCTCCCCTCCCCCTGCTTCTATGAGGGTGTGCCCCACCCACCCACTCCCACCTCCCTGCCCTCAAATTCCCCCACACTGGGGCACCTAGCCTTCATGGGACCAAGAACCTCCCCTCTCTCACCTATGCCTGACAAGGCCATCCACCCTTACATATAGAGCTGGAGCCATGAGTCCCTCCCTGTGTGCTCCCAGGCTGATGATTTAGACCCTGGGAACAATGGTTGGTTGGTATTGTTGCTCTCCCCCTGGAGTCGCAAACCCCTTCAGCTCCATCAGTCTTCTCTCTCACTCCTCTATTGGGAACCCCATGATCAGTTCAATGGTTAGCTGTGAGCATCTGCCTCTGTATATGTCAGGCTCTGGCAGAGCCTCTAAGGAGACAGGTATACCAGGCTCCTGTCAGCATGTACTTCCTGGTATCCACACCAGTGTCTGCCTTTGGTGACTGCACATGGGATGGCTACCCAGGTTGGGCAGTCTCCGGACTGCCCCTCTTTCAGTTTCTTTTCAATCAGATGCTAGTAGAGTTTTCTCACAATAGACTTAAATTCCGAATGATATGAAAAAAAAATTAAATGTATAAAATTATAAAAGGAAAGGAAACACAAAGGAATATTTCATAATCTGGCAAACAGAAACATTAAAAATAGAAATTCATAAGCTGTCCAGGAAACCCTCAGTAAGCAAAGATAGAAATATCCATGTAAGAAAATACATTGAAAAGGAAGAAGTCTGTGGGAAAAGACACAGGAGACAAAACCCAGTAACTAGAGTGCTTGTAAAACGAAATCAATGAAAGGGAAATAAAATGGAAGAGGGAAGTAGGAAACAACCATTTGCTGCATGGTGTTGGCTGTGGGCTGGCTGTATATTACCCTTATTATGTTGACATATGGGCCCTGTAACCCTAGATTCACCGTGACTGTTTATCAGGTAGGGAAGCTGCATGTAGTCAAAGGCTTTTGCTGTATCTGAAGGTGATTTTACATCTCTGCTTTTGAGTCTATTTATGTAGTGTTGTCCTGATTGGTTTCTGTCAGCTTGACACAAGGGATAGTTCTCTGGGAACAGGAACTGTAGAGAGACTCTGTACTGTATGGAAGCACCTTTATGGCAATGAGCTCTCTTGCCAGTCCCATGTTCACTCATTTGTTCACTTCATTCATTCATTCATTCATTCATTCATTCATTCATTCACTTGTTTGTTTTTAAATACAGCTTATAAAAGACTGCCATGCATTCCCTATGTATTTAGAGAAAATATTCCAATTTTATGACTTATCTCTAAAAACAATGGACTAGGGAGAAGTTAGAAGGAGAAGGGGGACCAAATATCACCAGAGTACATCATGTGCATGTATGAACCCTATCTGGGGTTGCATGTCCCATCAGGAACAAGCCAGAGACTAAAAGAACCCTGCCTGATACCATAGATCATGGGCAGGAGTGATCTGGAGTAAGCAAGAGAGAGATGACTCCACAGGGGACCACTCAGCCTGGTTAAAGAGAAAAACCCCTAAAAGACCACCAGTCTGGCACCATGAGGCCCAGATAAGGAGCTACCCTGAGATAACCATCAGTCTGGTGATGCACAGGCCGGAGGAGGCAGACCATGTAATTTCCTATATATTGTATAGTTCTTAGCAAAGGTCCTTAAAAAGAAAAACAAGCAAAAAGCAAAGCATACAGATTGGAATCAGCTGAGGAGCCAACATGACCACACTGCCCTCAGAAAAAGGAAATAACAACAAGAAAAAGAAAGTTCATGTTGCCTAGTGATATCACGTCATGCCTGGCTTGACTGGGTTTTGGATTTAAGAACAGAATTGTGAGAGTTAAAAGCTGCATTGTGTGTAAGAAGTTATCACTACCCTTTTGGCTCAGATAACTAAAGAAGCCACTGAAGCATGAAATGAAAGACTAACAACCAAATTTGATTGCTCAAAACCTGCCAAGAGTAACCACACTTGAGATACTGAGAGGTACACCGACTGCCAATAAGCAGCAGGAAAACCATAAAGCTACTTGCATGCTCACTGAGAGACTGTTAGCAAGTGTCAGACCATGGGGGCTTC